ATCTATCTATCTATCTATCTATCTATCTATCTATCTATCTATCTATCATTCTACCTACCTACCTACCTATGTCTAATCTGGCATTTCAATGTCATATCTCTTTCTGTCGTCTCTCTGTCTGTACCTCTCTCTCTCTGTGTATCTCTCTCTCTGTACCTCTCTCTCTCTCTCTCTGTATTTCTCTGTATTTCTCTGTATCTCTCTTTGTCTCTGTATCTCTCTCTCTCTGCCCATCTCGCACAAAGGACTTACATGATTAAAAACAAACAAACCCTCAAACATCTAAGAATGAGCTCAACTACTAACCTTTCATAGTAGCAGAGTTCATCTTTCCTGATCATAATGTCTGAGGGAACAGCCAGCTATTCAATATCTTGCAAAAGGCTAAGAGGCTTGGGGGTCATCTTAATCTCATGATGGTAGGGATTTCATTTCACATTCAGTGGTTGCGGCCATGTTCCTTTTTTTATCTGTTGGCTTGGAAATGGCTTCTCAAATCACTTCTTGCTAACGTCTGAGGAAGTTAGAAGGATGCCACACCTGTCATTTGTTCTTTTGCCAACTTATTCCATCTGTAGGCCTTCCCCCACCTAGCACCTTCCAGGTATGCTCAGCTTTGACAGCTCTGATAGAATGGGAATTGTAACCTAATGTATACGTGGAGAGGAAACCAGGAAAAATGGCAAGAGCTTACTAGCTTATCTTAAGAGCGTTTGGAGCTGCTGGTAATGGAGCTATTATTCTCTCTCTCTCTCTCTCTCTCTCTCTCTTAGTCTCATCCATGAGCTGAGACGGCATAATCGAGATTTTCCCAACCTGAGCTCCGGTATCTACGTTTATGAAGTGATACCAGGAACAGCTGCTGCAAGGTAAGAGGTCGGTGCTTTCTTCTAAAACTTTCAATAGAAGAGAATATATGTTCACCTGTGGGGTCCTTGGTGCTCTCTGAGCTTGGCTGTTTTCTTACAGATGTGTCATTTACTGGGCGAGGTAACATCATGATATTACCTAGTCAGATAATGAAACATCTGCAAGCAAACAACCAAGCTCAGGGGGCACAAAGGAGCTCACAGGTGAACGTATATTCTCTTCTATTGAAAGTTTTGGGACTCCGCATTCCAAAACTTTATTTACTTCCTTTCTATGTTCTTTTTGGGCCAAAAAGAACAATCAAGGCATTTTACTTTATCTTGGAACATGGTGCAAATCCAAACTTCACCAAGTCTCACCCAACTTTTCTAAGCCTCCTTCAGAAGCCTCTCTTTTGACTGGGTTCACACATTACACTGTCAACAATTTATTTTGCTTGATTTTGGTTTCACACAATATTTATTTATGGGTTTCCAATGACTCTTCCTGCGTTAGTGTGACATCCAAGCCCAACCAAACTGAATTTACTGAACCAACCTTATTTCAGCAGGCCAGGAATTATCATGATATGTGAATTCAGCCACAATTCATTGAGTTATCCAAAGCACTCAATCTTCTTTTTGAGTCAAACATGGTCACCTCAAACACACTTTACTTTTGCTGGCATTACGTTGCATTTGTTGTCTTCCTTCTTAGTTTGAAGAGATCTTTTTGGTGCTCTTCACTGTCCTTTCAACCATATCCCAACATCACTTTTCCCCAAAGATCTCCCATGTTATTGACTTCTGATTTTCCTCTGGGTCTTTCCTGACCGAATGTGGAGGAAGAAGGGTGAGGTTTCCATCAGCATCACAGTTCCTAAAATTTTGCTTCCAAAACACTAGCTTCTCTACAGAGCATGTGTGTTTCTTGATTCAGAAACTGACCTGAAATGGCAAGATGGGGCTGTCACCTGGCCCTGATGATGGATTTTATCGGTACATTTCTTTTGTTTAAATACACACTCCCTTCCTGGTTTGCGTTGCTTCCAGAGCTGGCCTGCAAGATGGAGATGTCATCACAGCAATAAATGGAAAACAAGTCACTTCAACCCGTGAAGTGACAGAGGCCGTTCGAAACAACCGTATCCTGGCCATAATAGTGAGACGAGGAAATGAAGACATCATCCTGACAGTAACTCCAGATCAAATCGATTAAATTGGACCTACTTATCCAATAGGTGTTGGAGTCTTTAATTGCTGTCGATAAGAAACAGCTTAGGAAAAATCTATAGTTTATAGATAGCTCTCTTTCCTGAATGTACAGTATATGTAAATTGATCCACGCACACATTTAACAGAATAACAATAGCAGAGTTGGAAAAAAGCCTGGGAAATCTTCTCACCCTACCCAATACTATTTCAGTCCAATCTCTTCTTAAAAACCTCCAGTGATGGACATTCACAACTTCTAGAGGCAAACTGTTCCATTGGTTCATTGTTCCTTGTTCTCTTTAATTCTAGATTGGGTCTGTCTTTGATAAGGTTCCATTCTGTTTCTCCTTGTCTTTCACATACGAGGAGCGGATGAATGCACTTAGAAAATGAACTTGCTCGTAATTTAATTCCTTTGGCCCAAATGAAGCAGGGTTGAAAAATAACTCTCTCATTTGCAGAAGGTTCTACAAAATCTTCTCTTTTAAGTCCCTAAAATATGGCAGCAACCTCTAGGGACAATCATCATGGCCGTTTTGATGGGCCCTACAAAGAAACATTTTATCATCGAAGTCTGAAATCAAAAGGCAGAACTTTTTATGGGGTTTGGATATTGAACATGTAGAAAGCAAAATAAATGTGCAAAGCCTCAGATAGGTTTTTACTCTCCTCCTTTGCCTTCTTAAATGCCCCATCTATCCCTGATCTTCAGCCAACTTTGCCTTCTCTGGAAATGTCTCCATAGTAATGCCTGGTGGTGTATCTATAGTCCTTGGCTACCTGATCTATTAGGGCAGGGGTCCCCAACCGCCGGTCCGCGGACCGGTACCGGTCCGCGGAACAAGTCTTACCGGGCCGCTGGTTGCTGGGCGCCGCCATCTTTTTTTGATAAAAAAGTGCTTCCGGTGAGCTTTTCCGGGTAGAAAGCCATTTCTACCCGAAAAAGCTCACCGGAAGCGCTGGCGCCGCCATCTTTTTTGACGAAAAAGTGCTTCCGGTGAGGTCACTGGAAGCACTTTTTTGTCAAAAAAAGATGGCGGCGCCCAGTTGATGCCGGTACCGGGCCGCGGCGCCCAGCTGATGCCGGTACCGGGCCGCGGCATAAAAAAGGTTGGGGATCACTGTATTAGGGGACAGGACAGGGGGAGGGGGTGGCTTGGTGGGAATGACGTGGCATGGTGGATGTGGCAGGGGAAGGATACTGCAAAATCCCCATTCCCTCCCCACCCCACTAACCTGCTTTCCAGCTCTGTTCTCCTGTGCAGGGCAACCAAAGGAGACCCAGCTGATCTGCTGGGACTCGGGAGGCGGAGAATAGATGGTGGCGGGGCCAGTCAGAGGTGGGATTTGCCAGTTCTGCAAACTACTCAAAATTTCCGCTTCCGGTTCTCCAGAACTGGTCAGAACCTGCTGAATATCACCTCTGCTTACAACCATTTGTCAAGTGACTATTTTACAACAGCACTGAAAATATGACCCCCTGGTCCTTGTTCTTAGAATCATTACAGCATTCCCCCTGGTCACGTGATCAAAATTTATTTCCTATTACAGATTCAGTAGGGAAAAATGAGATAATGTAGTGGAATCTATAGACAATATTGCCCCGTAATGGCTCAATGAGATGCTGCAGGCTGTATAGGTTTAAAAAAAAAAAAAAGGGCAATGTAATTTAAAGTATGGGACATACTGCCCCCTGGTGGCTTTCTGGTGGGATTCCAGACTCTGAATTAAACAGGCAATATAATGGGAAATATAGGAAATATATATTGGCTCAATGAGTTATTGCAGCTCTATAGACTAAATAAGAAAATACAATGAGCTTACAATATAGGTAATACTGACTAAGTATTTACAGGCTCTATGGGGAAAATAATGCAATATACTTATTTGTAAAAATAATAAAGGTGGAATACAAATGAATAAATACACGGAAAATAAGGGAATGTATAGGAAATACTGCCCCCAGTGGGTCATTCCGGTATTGCCAGTTGTTTACATTCCGTTATATTGCCATTTTCTGCATAGAGCCAATAATACTTCGCTAACCCACCAGGGAGGCATTATTTCCTATATATTAAATTATATGAACTTGTTCTAGAAAGTTAGCACCCACCCCTCTTCTAGAAGAATGAAATATTTTAGGAAATATTAAAAAGGCAGAACATTATGTTTCCCTGGATGAGAAATGGAGAAACGTGCCTTTGGAAAGCAGCCCCCTCCTTCCTTAATAGCCCTCAGTGGATGTCAGCACTTAAGAGATAAAGACATCAAAAAATTTAGCAACCGGTTCTCTGCCTGGTTGCTGGGTGGGCGTGGCCATGGTGGGAGTGGCTTACCAGAACATCTGGGAGGTCCGTTTTTCACCCTTCCCAAGCCTCTGTGCTTACCTGGCATCCAAAATGGGCCTCCTGGGGCATCCTGGGAGGGGCGGGGTGGGGTGGGAGAGGCCAGCGAGGGGTGGGATTTGCAGGTTCGCCGAACTGGGCAGAGGATAGTTAGAGGATCGCCAGAACCTGCGCGAACCTGCAGCAGCGCCCCTCCCCCCCCGGCTGTAAAAAGAGATAGCGAGTTCTATTCATAAGCGAAAACCCTCACCCAAGATCCAACAAAAGTAGGATTAGCCCTCAGCCACAATAGGAATTGCCCAAAGCCCCTTCATTGCATCATCTCAGTTGCACCACCCCCGGCAGTTCAACCAAACCTAGCTCAGACAAACTCCGAGGATCTGTACATGGCCCCACGGGAGTCTATTGACAGCAGTCAATAGAATACATATTCTTGCACAGGAACAGGAAGCTCAAGTGCAAAGCCCAAGAGAAAGTATAAATACCCCCCCACCACTCTCAACTCCCTGTGGTCAGCCGCACCAGAACTACAAACATGTGTTCTGCTTCATCATTAAATGGACCCCCCTTTCCAATCAGGCTCCAGCCTCCAACGCCTTTCTCCCGGCTTGGAACTGGACCAGATGGATATTTCTTCCCACACTGTTTAAGCCAGTGAGCCTGCAGTATCCCAGTGAGACAGCAGAGGGAATATATTCACCCCACTGAATGCAAATCCACATCATCAATATTGGAATGATAGGCATGACATGTTTTCTTGTAGTTCTTTCCTGTTTGTCTCTTTAAACTGAAAAAATAAAAAATAGAACGTAACGCCTGAGGCATGCCCATTTCAAACAAAGGCGTTTTGTATATGCACGACTATCGGGCGCTGGATCTGAAACGATGAATAAATGTTTGCCTAAGGCATGGCACGGTTGTGACACAGCATGAAGAAAAGGTAATAAAAGTTCTCGTTCTAGTGTTTCTCAACTTTAACCACTTTAAGATGTATGGACTTCAACTCCAATTCACTTGGATCATATGACACACTAAACCACAAGGCAGTCCTATTCATTTGACATTTAAGGTTACAATGGGGTTGACTGGTTTGTGTGTTTGTGTGTTACGAGCACAACGAGTATACTATTATACCATAAGAGGGCGCCATTGGCCTGCTCCCTGCTCCACTTTGGTGCCAGCAGAACATGGAATTAGGAAGCATTGTCATTTAATGCTTCCAGAAGGATGAATTGTCACACAAGATTTAAGAGTCTATCATCCTCTAGCTCCGTTTTCTTGTCTCAAGGTAAAGACACAGAATAATACTCTTAAAGTTATAAATTGGCAGGTGCCACCTGAATGTTAGGAACAGCAATTATTAAGAGAGATCTCGATAGATAAATTCAGTAGCTGTATTCAAACAATGGTTGAACACAAACTGCTTAAATTTGGACTCCTAAACTGAATAATTATTTAGATTTGATGGCCTAAATGATCCTTTCTATAATTCAGTTCTAGTGGTCTGAGATGGTAGCGAGAGAGATGATAGATGGATGACAGATACCAGGAGGAAGGGAGGGAGGGAGAAAGAGAGAGAGAGAGCTGATGATGATAACGATGATGATGATGACTACAACAGATAGAGAGAGAGAGAGGGAGGGCGAGAGAGAGAGAGAAAGAGAGAGATTATGATAGATAGATAGATAGATAGATAGATAGATAGATAGATAGATAGATAGATAGATAGATAGA